GGGAAGCCTGCTTCTCCCTCTCCCTCTCCCCCTGCTTGTGATCCTGCTCTCCCTGTGTCTCTCTCTGTCGGATAAATAAATAAAAATCTTTAAAAAAAATTTGTTTATTGATATTTTGCCTTATTATGGAAAAAATATAATTTAAAATAAATAATGAAAAAAGTAAATTAAAAAAGTAAAAAGTAAATCAACAAAGACAAGTTAGAAAATGAAAGTAGCAAAAATAAATGTTATGAATTTGGTTAGCATGCAGAATGCATAATCATTTGCTCAAGGTAGGCCACAGAGCTAGGCTCGGAACTTTCTCAGGGCTAATGTGGAGGTACACACTATGTCCCATATAATATGATTCACACTGCCCTTAAGATCAGCAGCAAATACCCATGCAGAGGAAGCACAACTGTTCCTGGGATTCACTGAAGCAAAGAGAAATTTCTTCTGCGGCTCTTTGGAAAAATGGACTGAGATATTGTGAAGAGCAGCCTGTTTCACCTCTTTACAGTCAACACAGCAACACCTGCACAAAGCTGTGCCATGTCTTCCATTCACTGACATAACCATTCATCCCATCAAGAGGACTGAGCATCACTTATGAACTGGGAACGGTTATGAGAACGACACTTCTGGCCGCAGCACTGTGACTGACATGGGGGATACAAGCTGTGGACAAAAGACAACATCCCTGGTCATGGAGGTGATATTCTAGTTGCAGGAACACAAAATAGCAAAGAAATAAAACGTATTATATACTAAATGGTCAAAAACGCTGTGGTGAGAAAAGAATGCACAGAAAAAAGACAGGAATTGCTGTTTTAGAATGACGAGGGAAGACCTCACTAATGTTGAAATGAGGGATGGAGCCACGTAGAGATCTGGGAGACAAGCATTCCAGGCAGAGAGAATAGCAAACAAGAGCAAAAGAAATAGGAGGTAGATGAGGTAGATGGTATGGCAACTTAGAGAATATTGTAAGGATTTTGGATTTTTTCTGTGTGAAATGGGAAGCCATTAGAGAGTTTTGAACAGAGAAGGGACATGAGCTGACTCACATTTATTGAATCTCCTATGTGACATATTCTGTGCTAGGCACCGGGGATGTTACGGTGAACAAGACAAGCATAACCACCCATGGAATTTACAATCTCTAAGAGAAAAACAGACAATAAGTCAATAAAGAAACAATCAAACAAGATAACCTCATCCTAAGAAGCCCTAGGAAGGAAAGAGAGTGATGAGACAGAGCGTAAGCATAGATCTATTTGTAAGCAAAGGCCTTTTTGAGGTGGAAGCATTTGAACTAAGCACTAAAGAATGAGGAGGAGTTAGCTATGTGAAGAGTTGGGGAAGGTCATTCCAAGCAGAGGAAGTAGTAAGTGCAAAGGCCATGAGGCAGGAAGAGCTTTATATGGTAAGGAATAGAAAGGAGGCCAGTGTCGCTGGAGTATGTCAGGGAGTGCAAGGAGGAAGGCAGGAACTAGATCATACAAGATCTTGTATTCTAGGAACCGCTGGAAATCATTGGAGCAAAAGAGTGACATGGGTTTCAAGATGATAACTCTGGCCACATGTGGAGAACTAAAAGGAACTAAAGTGCACACTCATGCACAAACGTTCTCAGAAGGAATAAATAAAATTGTGAATACTGACTATCTCTGGATGATAAGAACAACTCAATTAAGTTGATTTAAGAAAAGCTATGGGCCTTCCAGAAAGCTCCAGAAGACTACATCACACAAAATTCTGCCTATTGCTTTCCAGATGTTCACAGACTCCAATGGCACCTAGGTTTAGCACCCTTATATTATCAGTTCTCCCTAGGAAGAAAACTCTAAGGAAGATCTTCAGGGCCTAGAGAGAGATTGTGTATAAGAGGGAGTCATGTGAAACTCTTCTTTAGTCTGCAGCCAACATTAGAGGTGGAAGAATGTAGAAGGAAGAACACTGTGATGATGGAATAATAGGGTAGTCAGTGATGGCTAGAAGTTACTTGTTTTCATTGACTAAAGAGAGAAAAAAGGAAGTAGCATAGTTTGAGGGACTGAATTTACTTCAGTAAGGAGGTGGAAAGTTTAGATGTACTTCCAATGGGAGAAATGAGAAAGTTAGTGGGATGCCATCCTTTTTTTAAATTTTTATTGTTATGTTAATCAGAGAGGCATACAAATATGTACAAGGCTGTTATTTCTGTCTTGTTTACAAAAGTAAAGAACTAGAAGCAACCCAAATGCCAACTAGGGTCTGTGCATGGCTTTTTACAGTTCTGATTTTTAGAAAGAGGTTTCATTACTGAGATCCTCAGAAAGAGTCACACTTTTTTTTATAGGAACAGGACTAAAGGAAAGGCCTTAGTGCTCTATAGCTCAAAGGGTCCCAGCCATAGCTAAAATACCTTGGCTGGAGAAAATACATTAAAAGAATGTTTCATTCTGCTTCTCATTGTACTTGGCAGTGTATAAGGTCCTTCACATGATTATAACAGGTATAATTTACTGGGCACTTACTATATGACAGGCACTAAGCAAAGCATTTTCATACAATATCTCGTTTAACCCTTACAACCCAATTTTTACAGATCCTCTGTACAGATAAGGAAACAGACGCACAGAGAATTTAAACTGCCTGACACCTTAGACCCTACTTGAGTAAAATTTGTAGGTTTTCTTTTTTCCCCCATCCCCTAACAGAATGCTGGGTAGCTAGTAGCTGCTTAAATATTTGTTGAATAATGAATACATATATTAATTAAAAAGCGTGTGGTTTGTCAGATCAACTACCAGCCTCTAAAAGCTCCTTTTTTTGTTTTGCTTGTTTGTTTGTTTGTTTGTTTTTTAGCAGTTCCTTTTTGGACAAGAGTTTACACTTGCAAGAGGCTAGCTAAGGTTAGGAGAGCAATCAATGGGAGCAGAGCTTGTCTGAAGAGATATTCAAACAGTGGTACTGGGCCCACTGACAGATTGATCTAAACCATTACACTAATAGAACAAGGTGTACAAGAGTCACAACCATGGTGCCTCGTCTCCAAACTATAGAATGTTTAGGGAGCAAATTCTCTGGGCAATCTTATGTTTAGTTTTATAAGAAATTGCAAGAACTTTTCCCAAAGCGGTTTTACCAATTTACATTCTCATGACAAAATGTATGAGACTTCCGGTGATTTCCCATCCTCTCCAGCATTTCAAGTTGTCTTTATAATTTTAGTCATTCTGATTACCTGGGCAATTTTGAAGGGACAACTGTAGAACCGTTTAATACTGTAGAGTTCTAGGAGTTCTCGACACTTTTTCATTGCTCTTCTCAAGCTTGGGTGATTTTTGTCATAACTGATATCTGAGAAGGAAACATGAAATATTACTTTCTGGCTTATTTCTTTTTTCTTGATTTTGCAAGTCTGGTCAATCCCGAGGTTGAAGTGAATCCTAAGATCTCATTCCTCTTATCTTTCTTACTTGGATAAAAATGCCTGGGGTATGGAGTATGTGTTAATCTGAAGGCTGATTTTTTCCCCCTCTGTTGTCGGACAATATATTAAAAAGTCTGAAAGAAAAAGAAAAGCGCTTTTTGTAAGAACAGAACTTTTGAGTGATTTGGAAGTATAACCATGCCAAACCATTCTGCCACTGGTGAGGACTTTTGAGGGGTTTCGTTATGAAGCTTAGGTCCCCATAAAAAATCATACAGTTTTGCAGTGTCTGATAATTCTGATGTCAGAACTCTCTGTGTCTAGTTTTGCTGATTAATGAGTCTGTCAATACTCCCTCACAGTGCTTTGTTTTCATGTTCCGTGTGACTCATGTTTGTTGGAAATTTATTTATGGGAAGTCTTTGAGTGCTTGGTTGAGGATACTGTCTCTCCAACTGGAAAATAAACCTGGGGGAAGGGATTTCGTCTTTCTTTTTTTTTTTTTTTTTTTTTTTTTTTTGCTGCTTATGTTTTTTTATTTTGTTTCATATTGTGTTGTGTTGTTTGCTTTTTTTTTTCTCTCTCTTTTTTTTTTGTCTTATGTTAATCCCCATACATTACATCATT